GCCCACTCCTCCCCCGGAGCTGGAGGGGCAGTGGCGAGCCCTGAGGGCACGTGGTTCATGGCTGCCCGGGACAGGACCGCCCCCCCACCCCGGGGAGGGGGAGTGAAAGACTCAAGGTTCAGAGTACCCCCACAGCCCTCACCCCAGCCCCTCCTGCCCTCTGTTGTCACTGAGATGATGTGGAGTGCCAGACAAATGTGGTGTCCCCTGAGATCGTGGTTAGAGACAAGAGATGCTCTTGCACCTGTTTCGACCTTCCCTGAGGACTTTCTTGTGGCTCAGGAGCCCCCTGGAGTCCGGGATGGGGGCTCCGGGATGAGGAAAAGAGGTCAGGACACCCGGCACCTAAAAGTCTTTCAGAAATCGGCTAAGAGGATGGCATTTTTAATTTTATGGCTTTACTGTGCTTGCTGAGACATTCTCCCCCCCCCCAACTTCTCCACTCTGCCCCCCCCCCCCCGCCGAAATTCCTCACCTCTCTGTGTACCTGTCCTACCCGCAACCTTTTGCCTTGGGTACAGGTGGGATAAAGATGGTGGGATGGAGACATATGTAAAGCAATGTCCTCCTCACTTCAACAGATTGTTACCCCAAACCTTTGGAGACTAACTAGCTCTCTCCCAACAAAACTGGTTTCCGGAATGTCTTCAAGGAGATGAACGTCATTGTAAAGGTTCCCACCCGGCCCCTATCTCTCGAGGATTTCCCTGTGCAGAGTCAGCGCCACATCCAATGTCCAGGATGCAGTGCTGACCCAGGAGGAAAGGGTGTATTTTCCTCTCTGCAGGAACCCTGGCGGGGGGATTGTATCAAGTAAGCCTATCTGTAATGATGGAGGCAGGGGCCTGACTGAATATAATCTTAATTATGAAAGGAAGGTAAGATACATTCTAGTGAAGGTAGGCTTAGAACAGTGGTCGGCAAACTGCGGCTCGCAAGCCACATTCGGCTCTTTGGCCCCTTGAGTGTGGCTCTTCCACAAAATACCATGTGTGGGCTTGCACGTACAGTTGCGATTGAACTTCGTGGCCCATGCGCAGAAGTCGGTTTTCGGCCTGGGCGAGTCTATTTTGAAGAAGTACTGTTGATATTTGGCTCTGTTGACGAGTTTGCCACCACTGCCCCTGGAAGAGAGTCTAAGCCCAGAATGGACCCAGGGTTCTGACTTGACCCCAAGAAGGGCTCCCTACTGGGCCTCTCCTTTGCAGCCTCCACGGCCATTGCTAGCCCAAATCTGGGATGTTATGCCCCAAGCATTTACCCTTCAATGGTCTTTCCCTGTTATCCAAACTTGTGATCATCTATGGATCACTACAGAACCCAATGATATTCCAGGGTAGTAACCTGAGTGCGAATATTGAACTCCCTTGCTTTCCCCCCACACTTTGTATATGTGGCATTTATCAACTTTAATTGAAGACCCTTGGCTTTTTTCTCCCTAATGGCTGTAGTTAGATGGACCATGAATAGAAGAAAGCCAGCAATATAAACCGGTGCATTATCAGCTGGGTTAAATAAAGCACTGACTAGTCCATTTGTTTTAAGTTTGCAAAGCTCACCTAAAACATTTTTGCAAAGGCTCTCTTGGAGAGGAGAATGGAGAGGAGTCTCTAACCCTCTTCACCCATTTAACACCACCCTGGGATCCCCAAGAGCAGCATCACAGCCAGGGCTCCTGGGAGGGGCTTGCTGAACACGCTGATACCAGAGCTTCTGTTCTCTGCCTGTCATCAAAGTGTGCAGTTGTAACAGGACATAATCGTTTAAAGAATTCTTATGGCCTCAGTAGCAACCTTAAATTGAAGATACAGGTAAAATGCCCTGTATTTGAATAAAATAGCTTCTGTGTATGCTTATTAGTCTGGTATCTGCCACATATTCACATATCCCTGGAAGTAGTTTAGTTATCAAAAAGCTGTTCATCATTTCCCTGCTTTTCCAGAGCTTGCCCCCTCTTACCGTATCTAGCTTTCAGATAGCTGCCTGTTGAGACTATGTATCAAAAGTGGAGAAAGCACTCAATACATGTTTGCTATCGTTATTTTTGAAGTGCAAATCTGATCATGTCTCTCTCCCATTCAAACTTTTAGTGGCTCTGTCATCTATAAAAGGCAAAGAGCTCAGCATGCCCTATAAGCCTGATGTTATGGCATTCCTCTCTCTCTGGCCTTGTTTCTTGGCAGGTCTACCCTTGTTTTTCTGCTCATTGTCTTTTGCTTGAAATGCTACCTTTGCTGTCTGACCCACCTAATACAGGCGAAAACTAAAAGCAAACTATATTCTTCTGTGGTGATTGATGTCATTTTGAAACTCCCATTTTCCTATTGAAAACCAGCCTTGTGCTTTTGTGTACTTTTTGTTAGAAAAAAACTGGCAGGTCAGCTATTGACAGTTGTGAACTATCTTAAGAAGCAGAATCCCTTAATGGAGGGACAGGCAATGCTGTAAACCCAAATAAAAGACAGAATAAGCAAGACAATCTCTCTATATAAAACCCTAATATGCAAATAGACCGAACGACGGAACAACCAAACAACCAAACAACCAGTCGCTATGATGTGCACTGACCACCAGGGGGCACATGTGGAACATGATGGGTGTTGGCAGCAGGCGGCAGAGTATGGAACATGGCAGGTGGCCGTGGTGGGATGGTGGAGCAGGTGAGCAGGGGCGCCAGACCAAGGTGGGGCGCTGGTCGCTGCCACTGGGGTGAGCCTCTGGTGGTTACTGAAAATTCTTGCTCCCATGTGCCATGGTCCCGCCCAGTGCTTGCACCTGCTGCCTGCACCTGCCCCAATCGCTAGGCAACATCAGCGAGAGCCAGTGGTTGCTGGCCCTGATCGCCCCTCAGGGCTCCCCTAGCCTCCCTTGCTCCTGAGTGGCGATTGGGGCAGCAGCTGCTGCTTGCACCCACTGGTGAGAGTGGGGCTGCAGTGAGTGGGATGCAGATGATGGGCCAAGACCCACCTCTGTACCCACTGCAGCCTCTCGGCCCACAGTTCCTTTCAAGGTGCACAAATTTGTGCACTGGGCTCCTAGTGCTTTAATAATGGGTGTTTCATTAGTGATGTCTCCCAGATTCAGCCTGTAAACCACTCGATCAAATATGACAATACTTGATGGATTACTTTCATTCAAAAGTTTGATCTGACATTAATGGACCTCCACTTCAGAGTTAGTTGGCCCTGATTTTCTGAACATATAGAACCTGTCAATGAAAGGATGTCCAGCCTAAGAAAAGGCTTGTAAGA